GGGGGGGGGAGCGGGTGCAAACTTATAGTAACTGTTCGCATATATGTCGGGGGTTTCTAGGGGCAGCACCCCCTGAATAAATTTTGATTTACTATTTCTTTTTGTATTTGGTTCATCATTCCCTAGAAATAACACATCTACATAATATCTTTAAATATATTGGGGGCAATTGCCTAAAGATCATAGTATTTTAACATTTTTAGGGGGGGGGGGGCAATTACCTAAAACTCTTATAATAAAGACTAAAAAATGCCTAATTAATAGTGTAATGAAAAAAAAAAATTTTTGAGGGGGGTTCCGCCCCTGCGCCTACCAACGTCGACACACCACTCTGACCACAGTTGCCCGCCGACTATGGTCCTTCCGACCTTCATCCCCTGCGGAATATGATCCCTTTGACTACAATCCCCCCAGCCTTCATCACTAGCAGACTACAGTCTCTTGGACCTTCGTCGCCCACTGACTACAATCCCTGTGACCTCCGCTACCCATCAACTACAATTACTTCGACCTCCATCGCATACATACAATCATATCAACCAAATGAACATCCCAACTCTCTTGAGAACAACTCTTATATTATTAGATTTTTCCAACTCCCACAAACTTATAGTAACTGTTCGCATATATGTCGGGGGTTTCTAGGGGCAGCACCCCCTGAATAAATTTTGATTTACTATTTCTCTTTGTATTTGGTTTATCATTCCCTATAAATAACACATCTACAAAATATATTTAAATATATTGGGGGCAATTGCCTAAAGATCATAGTATTTTAACATTTTTAGGGGGGGGGGCAATTACCTAAAACTCTTATAATAAAGTCTAAAAAATACCTAAATTAATAGTGTAATGAAAAAAATTAATAATAAAGATTTTCTCAAATTGATATATTGGTAAATTTGTCCAAAGTTCAATAACACTTCATTTGATAACCCATATCAAGCCCTTTGATCATAAACAATTCATTCAACACTTAAGTTCGAACGTGATTCATAATTGAATGGTCTTAGGCTCACTTGATTCATCTCGTCAAGATGCTCAACACATAGATTCGAAGATTATGTGATCCATTAATTTAAGTCCCGAAGTGTTAAAACAAACTTCAAATATTTGATTTAGGCTCATTTAATATTACATTTTGTGTCATTAAGTTCCCTTCTGTAAGATGCATGATCAATTTGACTATAAAACATATTAAAAATAGAATTCAAAAGATTCTAAATTTAATTAAAAAATTTAATGTTATCTCCAAATTCATATTTGAACGGATGAATTTTCCGATCAATAAGATTTAGTAAATCTTTTTTAAATTAAATTTGAATTCTACTGGCTGCCAAATAACCATATTGTATTAGAAAATTGTCACTATTATTGGGGTCTCAAAATTAAGCAAAGATTAATAGTATTGATGTTGACTGGTTGATTGAAATAGTTGGTCTGATCAACGTTAAGATAATATATTTGATATATCATCAAAAAAATTATCTTGATCTGGCACGAATATTGAGACAAAATCAAGTTGCGATCTTCCGAAATTAAATATGGGACCATCTGAACTCCGATTTCAGCAAACTTACAATCGAACTGAACATTTGAGAGCCGAACTGGATCCAAATCAAAGACCCGAAGAGCATTTGAAAAAGATCAAACCATAAATTGGATGGCCAAACAATTTCTAAATATTACATGCTTATAGTCAAATCGAGCGGCTCAACGAAATGAATCCAACGAGCTCAAGATAATCAAATTGTAATCTCATTAAGACATTCAAATGCCCAACAAATGGTCTACAATCAAGGAGATCAACATGAGCTATCTATTCAAACAACTCCCTACTTATCCTTGATCTCCTAATGCCCTAAAAGAATTAAATACTAATTAACACAATGTTTTACTACACTAATTAAAATAAAAAGAAAATTTGTGTGTATATTAATGATGTTCTCCATACACTTCTGTATTTTTCATATGTAATTTCAGTACAAAAAATCCATTTAAGCAAGTAAGATGATTCCATAAGGTGGAGGCCAACATGTGAACCATGTGAAGCTTAATCTAAAGGTCAAACATGACATCTCAACTTCATGTATAGAATTAGATCCAATTTACAATAAACAAAGTTAACTATATTTACTCTATAAAATAAGAAAATTTAAGATTAATTTGAAGCCCAGGATAATGTACAGGGGCGGAACCAGTCCTAATTTTGAGGGGGTGCAAATTAAATATAAAAATAATTAAATAATTAAATAAAACAAATATAAAAATTAACATTTTTAAATACAAATCCAATGAGATTAAGCTTATATGTATGTGAGGTTATCTTTTTTAATTCTAGAGAGATTATTAAGGATTGGATAAGCAGATAAAGTATGGTGGGTTGATTGTGCTCTCAAAATAATATAGGTTAGTTTTGTCCAGAACTAACCGCAGTTGGAGATTTGGGCAAGAATTCTATATATCAAGTAGAATTCAAAAAAAAAAAAAAAAAAAAAAAAAAATTTTAAAAAAATCTTATAATGAGTGAAGGAGGGATCAATTATTCTATACGGACGTCAGACACCGTCTGGAGGTAAATTAGAGCACGCCACTTCACCTCCTTGCTATGTACCGCGGCTATGTACCTGTTGTGCACCGGATGATGTGGTGCGCTCTGATTTACCTCCGGACACAGATCTACTCCAAGTGTCCCCAAAGAATAATTTCTCCAAAGAAATATATGCACTATTCTATAAAATTATTCTGTGCAAACACCGTGTTCGGAGATGAATCAGAGCGCGCCATGTCACTCAGTACGCATGAGTTACATAGTCGTGGTACACAACAAAGAGGTGACGTTGTGTGCTCTGATTTATATCCGGACGGCGGGCCCACTTTAATAATTGTACTCCGAACATTTTAATAAAGGAGCAGTGAAATTTCTTGTTGACATTTAATTCATATCGTTAAAGATAATGGACCATTCTGAGTATATACTGAGCTCAACGCCTCCTCTAATTGAGCTCAACCACTTTACCATGCATATATAATTATGAATATATATTTTGTTTCTGTATATAAAACAGTACTTAATTTTCCCACATTACGCACAATCCAACCTACCCTGTTAAGTAGGTAAGCATTAATTTTGTATAATATATTTTGGCTTCGTTTGTCAGAGTTTTTTTACTGTTTTTTAAAGAAATTTTCGAGTATAAAAATTTTAACTTTTATATTAAAAAAGTATTTTGAAAAGCATTAAAAAAGCCATCCTAAACAAAGCATTTATCTCTTTTTCTTTTTCAATATAATTGCTTTCTTATTATTTTTTTAAAGTAAATTTTTAATTAATTTTTTTCCTAAAATTTACTTTAAAAAATAATAATAAAACCATCACAAACAAAACATAAAGGGTACTTGGGGCTGCTTTTTTATAAAATTGATTGCAAAATAAGTGCAAAAAATAACTTATATATTGTTATAAAAAATAATGAGAAGACAATAGCCAACAAAAACTATAATTACTATCTTAAAAAATAAAACAACCCATAAATTATCACTTTTAATTATTATATAACTAGTTATTAATAAGAGTATACGGTATCATTAAAACCGAAATTAAGAAATATTACTCTATTTTAAAAAAATTAACATTTTTAAATACAACAAACGCCCTTAATATTTGTGAAAAACAACATGACAATTTTATTTATTTACTCTAAATATATGAACAATATATATATTAAACAAAATTTTCTACATAGAAGCAACCAATTAGAACTGGGAAGGAGAAATCAACTGGAAGTAGAAAACAAAAATAAATGCTCACCAGGAATTACAGCAATAACTCTAATTGAATGCGCATACACACACCACACCTAATATGCTTTATACCCAATATAACGAGCAATTATTAGGTCCTTTCACTAGATGTAGAGGAAGGTTCGGTTTTAGGCAAAAATAGGTCAAAAAGTACAAATACCGAGTTTTTTGAAAAACTCGGTATTTTTTCAAAAAACTCGGTATTTGCACTTTTTTAGACAAAACTGAACCTTCCTCTAGGTCCTTGCACCGGACCAAATAAAAGTTCCAATATAACATCAGCAAAGAGTGTTAACATCTAAAATACAAATGCATAGGCTTTGTTTAGGACGATTTTTTTATTGCTTTTTAAAACAGCTTTATAGTATACAAATTAAAAATTCTAAACTAAAAAGCTGATTTAAAAAGCAGTAAGAAAGCCATCCCAAACAAAGCCTAAAGCTTTGTTTAGGACAATTTTTTTATTATTTCTTAAAGCAGCTTTATAGTATACAAATTAATAATTCTATACAAAAAAGCTGCTTTAAAAAGCAATAAAAAAGCCGTCTCAAACGAAGCCTTAGGCTTTGTTTGAGACAGTTTTCTTACTATTTTTTAAAACAACTATTTAACACACAAATTTCTAATTTACAATTTTTTTATATTAATAAATTACATTAAAAAACAACAAAAAAGCTACCCCAAATGAGATCCTAATCCTTCAAATTTGAATTAACTAAAGGGAGGCCTTAGCAATGTACAAGAATCGCACTACCTGATAATTTAGACTTGGTGCTTACACTCTTATAGTTCCAAGGACAGAAAATTTCAGCTCTATAATAACTCTTCAAGGAATAATATAAATACAACACAAAACTAACAAATTACTTCGTTGAAAATTTACAATAAAAAATCATAACAAATTATACAACAACCATCTTGATTGTTGAGCTTGAATAGATTTATGCACAAAGATCTATCTCCTTCGACAAAAGTTCAGTGGCCCACCCATCTCATCTGTTTTTGTTCATCAATGATAGCAGTGGATACTATGTACCAATTATAGAATTTAGGTTTCATTTGAGACGATTTTCTTATTGCTTCTTAAAGAATATTCCAAATACAAAAATTAAAAAAAAAATTGTACTAAAAAATTGCTTTAAGAAGCAGAAAAAAACTGTTCCAAACGATGCCTTAGTCAGCATCACTTCCGCTTTCCAAAGGAAGCATATTCAGCATGAATTTGCATATCATAGTAAATTCTCTGCATCAAAATTTCTTGTCATAAACACCTCATGTTATGAGAATAAAAAAATTAATGAGAAGTATTAAACTCACATGTGAGACTTGATATGCAGAAATTGGAAAGAGTTCCTCTCCTCATTATAAAAACTTTTCTTCAATTCATAAAACAGATGGTGCTGATGCCCATCCTCACCAAAAAAGAGGTATAATGGAGTACCGAAAGAACTCCAAAACCAAAATCTTAGCTCATTGCTGCTCTCCCGGGCCCACGTGGCATCTTCTTTGATGAAGCTAAAAAGAGTAGAGAAGGTTAGAAAATGCAAAAAGAATTTTAAATAAAAGCATGAGAAAGCAGTATTATCCATACAATCTTCAACATCTTTCAACTGGTAATAGTGGGGAGCAATTTCAACTAGCCAGTCTGGCTTCAACTCAGTAACCTGCACAAGGTTAGTTCAATCATAGTAATTCATAATAAATTTAAAAATAATTTATAAGTGCACAAAGTATCGTTAAGTACCTGTCGCATGTACTCTTTGGTGGTAAGCACAAGTTCATGGTAAATAACCCAGCGAGGAGGTAATTCCTATAGGAAAGAGAACAAAAGTTGTCTTCAAAGCACATCTAAATTCAAATGCACGCTAGTTTTCTTATCCATAGTTTTCTAACTTGAAGTGCAAAATATAGAATATAACATAAATGAAAGCAGATGAAAACGCTAGGGTGCTTAGTTTACTTATGCGGCTGACTTAGGCTTCTTTTGGGATGATTTTTTTTATTACTTCTTAAAACAGTTTTTTAGTTTAAAATAAAAAATTTTATACTAAAAAATTACTTTAAGAAGTAAAAAAGTCATCCCAAATGAAGTCTTAGATGCTTTATTCTATTTTTTTTTTCTCTAAACGTAAATACAAAAATAAACGTTATGGAGTAAGAAATGACTTATAAGAATGCAAGGAATGTTGTTTACCTGTGCCAGGCCGGAGCTTGGATGTATGTGAACTGTTTGTGGATTTTTAACAGTTTGGTACGCACCAGTCTTTTGGAGCCTTGCAGCATGATAAAAAAATCCTAAAAAGATCTTTGATGTCACTAATTATGCGTAACAAATATATAAAGATATCAACATAACAAAAACAGATTTTATACCTGATGTTATAGCCTTCTTGATTGCATCTAAATTGGAAGGATTTGAAACAATCTCAATCCCAACTTTTTCCAAGAGACCTTCTAGCTGGTCTCTGATATCTCTGGCTCGTTTCATACTGCGGACCTGATTTTAATTTGAAGTTAAAAGTTATCAAAGAGAGAATCTTCTAAAACCACTTTGTAATTAAAAAATAGAGTATTATTCTAATGATCAGATTGGCAAAATAATTTAACAATAACTTGGAAAAAAAATCCCGATGTAAGCAAGACTACTTAATGAGGTTTTATCATTGTTAAAAAACGCCACATTTACTCGAACATGTATTTTTATCTGAGGGTAGCACATCATACTTTAAAGTTGAAAGATAATGTCACAAAGCATAAGCAGTCACATGATTCAGCTGATCATGTGAAACCTGCACCAAGTTTTTCAGCATGGAAAAAAAAGCCAACTATCCCAAAACAACATCTAGAATTCGACATATAAGGTTATCTGTCACCACTAGCAAAGAATTTAATACTCTGGCATTATAATTGGTTATGAAACTTTATTATGATATCACACATAAACCACCTCATATTCAAGTAAGCTTTAGGTTGAAACATGATCAATGTTGAGCTTTAAAATCTAGATCCTATGCCAACAATTAGCAATTAAGATTGTAACAGTAGTCTAAAAAGATTAAATGAAGTGTTTTACGTAATTTTTATTATTGAGAGATGAAGTACAGTTGTTAAACCTAGCTCTTCTCTCTACCTCTCATAGACTTCCCTCTCTCAGGATTTCGTTCCGAGTCCATAACAATAAAAAATAAAATCCAGGCATATTCCATTACCATTGCTCCAATGCTCTCTCAAGTCCAAAACAATAAAAAATAAAATTGAAGCCTATTCCATTATCATCGCTCTAACACCATCGTCCAAATGAACATGCATGGAGTGATATCATCCCAAACCTTCAAGTTCAGTTTTACCAAGTATGTGAAATTAATGCATCAGCTTTCATAAGCAAACTTTCATGTTGGGTGCTCCTCTCTAGCACATTCGTTTGATCATATATCAATAAAACATCCATTTAGCTACTAGGTTTTCTCAATGAATTATTTCAGTTTTTGGTATATACACCATAATTCAGGATATTTTTTAATCAAATCCCTCTAAACCGAAATAGAACATTTAATCAGCTATGACCTGTTAGATTCTAACACATTCTTATGACAAAATATTAACCTTATTTAAAAAAGGTTATGCATTACACTGGCAAATAATTTCTACGAGAGTATTTTTGGAACAAGTGGTGAAGTAATATTCTAAGATAAATAATCTAGATTTATAAAGGGGCTTTAAATGGTACAAGGAATAAGTATGAAAAAGAAAAGTCTCTCAGGCTTATTGTGATATTACCTGGATGTAGTTTTCATAACACCATTGCGTTGAGAAGTTTGTTTCTTTCCAGGAAGCGTACACCTGAAATACAAGAACCAAGGCTTGTGAGAACCGACTTTAATGCTAGAAGACACAGAAACAAAAAAATACTGAAGAAGGTTGGCATATAATAGAAACTAGAGCAATTGAATGTTACATTTAGCAAAGCAATATGGTCACCAACATTCCCAGTATGAAAATTCAGCCTAGCATTGTCTGCATGGACTTGCTTGTCCTTGGGACGATAGAAGATTGAATTCCCAACCGACAGCATTGCAGCAATGGATACAATCTCTTCAGAGCACTTATATTTATCTGAAGCAACAATCATCTTGGAAAGCATTGGATCAAGTGGAAACTCTGCCATCATCCTCCCAATTTTGGTTAACTCTCCATGGCTATTCAGTGCATTAAGTGCATAAAGTTGTTCAAGAGCCTTAATCACTGCCTCTGAAGGAGGAGGATCCATAAAATCAAAATTTACCAAACTACGAATGCCCAAGCTCTTAAGAGAAAGCACAACATTTGCAAGATTGCACCTCTGTATCTCAGGTACTGTATTTTCGTCAAGATCATTTTCATAATTATATGCAGTGTACAGACGAAAACATTTTCCAGGCCCTGTGCGCCCAGATCGTCCAGCCCTTTGCATCGCAGAGGCTTTTGAGATTGGATTTACAAGCAATGATTCCATACCAGTACGTGGATTATAAGATTTTATCTTGCAGAATCCAGGATCAACAACATATTTAATACCATCAATGGTTAAGGATGTTTCAGCAATGTTAGTTGCCAATACGACCTTGCGAGCCCCTTCCGGTGTAGGTTCAAAGATTTTTGCCTGAAGCTCTGTTGGAAGATTGGCATAGATTGGGCATACTATAAGTTCTGCAATTTTAGTTCCTAAACCCCTAGTTCTATGCTTCAGAATCTCATCAATAGTTTCAATTTCTTCCTGTCCAGTAAGAAATACAAGAATATCACCAGGAGGTTGTGTCACATGTATTTGAAGAACAGTGACAATGGCAGCATCAATGTAATCGGCTTCAGGAGCAGTTGTGTAATGTATATCAACAGGATATCTCCTCCCTGGAATTTTGAAAATGGGAGCTGAATCAAAAAAATCACTGAACTTCTCAGCATCAAGTGTCGCACTAGAGATTAGCAACTTAAGGTCCTTCCGGAAGCGTGCAATATCCTGATAAAGGTAATGTAACGTCATGCATGCTTGAAGGAACAAAACAGTTATATCAAATGAAATTAAAGTAGCATAACAGCATTATCATACCAAGTGACACAGACCATACAAATAGTTCAACACAGTGCAAGCTAAAAAACGAAAGAAGTAATTTACAGAGATTTTGCATGATCAAATAGAGATATGGAGCTAAGATAACTTACCTTAACCAAGCCAAACAAAATATCAGTTGAAATCGTCCTTTCATGTGCCTCATCGACCATGATAACGCTGAAATTTAGTATGAAGAAAAGAAGCAGGTCAACTACAGGACAATTACAATCAAACAGAAATATGCTCATTTGAAAGAGTACCTATAACTTGCTAAATCAGGTTCACTGAGAAATTCCCGCAACAACATCCCATCTGTCATATATTTTAGAATAGTCTTCTCAGATGTACAATCTTCAAACCTGATAGAATAGCCAACCTGCATATTAACAGTGCCAAAACTGATGGGTAACTAGCAAACCATTGATGGTAGATTTCAGTTATCAGAATATGCATCATAAAGGAGAAAGTTAAGATGGGTTACAAACCTCATGACCAAGTTTGACACCCATTTCCTGGGACACACGTGCGGCAACACTCATTGCGGCCACACGACGTGGTTGGGTGCATCCAACCTAAGTTGTTTAAAAGGAAAGAAAGATGTCAACTTTCAAAATTTATGGTGCTCACAAGTCACTAGTGTATATGAACCCATGTATAAACAAAAATAATTAACAAAATTTGCTACAGTTCAAAAGCTGCAACGCTGCTACAGTGCAACAAAAACAAGAATGTATAAAATAATTTATAGATAAAAGGTTAATGTTATAATGCAAATATACATATATACATTTAACTGAAGGTAAAAAAAACCTAGCGTGCAAAATGGGTGGTCCTAATGGCATTCGAAAACTACAGTTTCTTCTATGTTATCTCCATTTTTTGTTTGGTTATTGGTATTGTCAGTAAACCATTTTGTTAAGTAAATGCATTTTATCATATGCAGGAGATCATCATTGGTAGTAAATAATGTATCTCCAAAATTATGGGTCTCCTAAAGTCACAACCAGGCCTATCTTGTTACAATCTGTTAAAGTGGACATATCTCATTATCTAGAATAGCTTTAGCAATAAGCTACTGTAGAAATTGCTTGTAGAAATTTGGGAAAAGTCTTGGCTGAAATATAATTTCAGCAATTTTGAAAACCAACGACAAGGAAACCATGAATAGAACACACAAGAATACTCTTTTATTGAAAGTTTTGTGAAATAAAAGACAAGATATAAGTGGATCTTTAATTGGAGAGGAAGATACAGCTCTCACAAATCTATATCCGTCGGCTAGAGCTCAAACACCTTAAGAACAATTTAATTTCAGCAAGCAACACAACCCTAACACTAAGAAAAACCCCCAACTTAAAAGCATACAATAAAAGAAAAATATCCAAACAGCCCTCAAATCAGCCCCCAAAATCTGCCCTATTAAATTAGAAAATATGTCCTAATTAATCCCCTCCAAATTAGTCCCCAAATATGTCTTCTTCAAATTAGAAAATATTTCTTAATTAATCCCCTCCAAATCAACCCCCGAGAGAGCCGGTCCTTACCAGCAGGACCGGTCTAGGAGGGACCCTATCTAACAACTACATAGAAAAAAACTGCCAAAAGACTAAACATTGAGTCAAGTGGTGGAGAGTGATGGACAGAGAGTAGAATCCAAGTAAGCAGACATAGGCTTGAAATAATCAATCTCGTTGAAAACTAGATTTATGTCAAGATTGCCTAGAATTTTCAATTTTTAGGAATTATTTTTAATATGTTGCATAATTTTAAAGCATTAGACTCAATTAGTTAAATGCTCTAATCAAGATGAAAGCCTTTTTGGACTATAGACAATGACCTCGTCACCATACATAAACTTCACATACCTCATGTTCACATTGAGAAAAAGCTAATAATTGTCATAGTTAATAGCTAGCTTTTGGTGAATATCCTCATGAAGATCATGCATACGTTGTACAAATGACTTTGAAAATGTGCTAGGCCTTCTAAAAGTTATGCAAATTAGGAGAGCTCCACACTTCTTTATAATGTTTATGATTTTAGTATAAGGATTAAAAATCTTAAAGAATAAAGAAATCATGAAAAGAAGGGGCATGCTGATGTAGAACGGGAAGGAGGCGTTGTAAAAGGAGAGGAAATTCCTCTCCAAAAATCCAAAATATTTTCTTACAATCTTGTAGAGAAAGAAACCCAAATCAAACCTGAAATGAGTTTCAGGTTTTCTGATAGTGGGGATGTAGCTTGGGAGGAAAACTCAAGCTCAGGGCTTGAGAGAAATTCGGCCGACGGAGAGAGGATTGGATAATTAATTTTTTTCAAGTAATTGGCTGCACTTCTGGAAAGTTTTCAACCCAGCAATGAGGAGAAAGGGGGAAGCGGGACAAGGAGATGGAGGGAACAATAAAGTTCTGGATTGTTTCCAAGCAAGGATTGAGGGAAATCAAATCCTTAATTCCGTGAGATGAGTTAGGGAAATAAATTCAAATTCTTTTCTTTAGAGGTAGCCGGGCCAAGCCTTGAGGAATTTCAGCCAGCAAAGGAAATTAGAGACAGGATTTAATTCCCCAAGACAGAGGCTGATTTTGGTAGGATTTGAACGGTGCAGGCCAGAGAAGAAATTCGGCCAGCAGGCTTTGAGCTTTTGTAAAATTCGGTTTTTGAGATTGGGGAAAATAGGCTTGATTTGTTTCCAAACAGGACTTTCCTATTGGAATTAATCAAACAGACAAAGGCAAGAGGGAATCTCGGCTATGAGCAATGTGGGGGAGAAAAGGAAATAATTATTAATTAAAGCCAAGGTGGGATTTGTGGAGAGCAATTAATGTTGCTTGATTTGGATTTGAATATTAGGAAAGGGGTTTTAAAATCCTATTTGAATATTAAAATTCAAATAAGTTTTAATAAGGAAACTTTCTAAAAAATAGCTTTCATAAATTAGGAAAGATTTCGAATTTCAAAATGCATGATTTTGAATTTGAAATCAACCCAAAATATGTCAAATTCAAATATTTTCATCAAATCCTCTCTCATTCAAAATTCAAATAGGATTTGCTTGAATGAACTTTCCTAAAATAGAAGTTGAAATTCGGAAAGAAATTTGAATTTCAAATTTTAAACAATTTGAATTTACAATTAAGTCCTAATATCATGCCCCCAAATTAGGAAATTTCAAGGAGACGGAGAAGTGGGGATGAGGGGTTTCGGGTGGAGGTGAAATCGGTGGCCAAACGAAGATGGGGAGGAGGAAGATGAATATGACTAAGGGAAACAATAAGAAGAAACAAAACAAAACAAAAACAAAGATAAAAACGAAAGATAGAAGACAAAGAACCGCGAGCCTCGGACTCTTCCGACGATTGACGGGTGATGCTTTGCCCTTCTCGAAGGGACTTCAAATCACGAGCCCGGACCCATCCTGCGGCTGGTGAAGACTTCGATTCCTCTCATAGGAATCTCACTAACGCTCTCTCACAAGAAGAACACAAGTGTGGGAAACAATTTTTCATATTAATCAACCCCCCATTACAATAGCTTAAGGCCCTTATTTATAGGCCATAACATGAGAAAATAGAAAATTACAAAAATGCCCCTTGGGCCACAACACTCAAATAAATTTACCTAGGGGTAAAATAGAAAATAACATAAAATAGAAACTAAAATGCAGAAAACAAAGTCACATGCCAATCTTAATAAAGTCACCTAGTTCAAACTCTCAGAGCAGTAAACAAGATAGGTAGTTCAAATATGTTAATTAACTAATATTAAAACAAATCTAAAGATTAATAGATCAAAAAATAAATTAATTGAAAAATAAATAATAAGTCACTCTCCTTTTCAAACTCTACTCACATTTTTCAAATTGATGACCAGGTAAGAATGATGGCAAATCAAAATATACTAAAATAGTTATTTTAAAACATTTTAAATTTATTTATCTACCATATTCTCAAAATTCTGCTCAAGAAAATGTTTTATTATTCCATGCAATTCAATGCATGATTTATATATTTGTATGTATGTGCATAAGAAAAAATAATATCATGCAAATGATATTTTTTAGACATATTTTGTTATATTACGGAGCACAAAAATTAACAATATATGTAGTAACTATGATAGGAAACGTGAACGGAGGAAAATAAGAGTTGGATTCTAAAATTAAATAATATTTTATAATGAGTTAAGGTGGCAAATTTGTGCGTGATTTGTATCCACTTTGTGCTTGTTTTGTATCCAAAATACATCTTAGAAGCTTCAGACTTTTTTTTTTTTTTGAAAATTAAAATTAGATATGGTAAATGGAGCACGAAAAAATGTCCCGAAGTGTTCAAGTGTCTGAGCGAATGACATGATTTAAGAGTTCTTTAAAAGTGCTTTTGCTCATAGCTAAATTACACCTTTATCAATTCTCATCTTCCAAAAGAAGAGTGAAATAGCATTCAATTTATGAAAAGAAAATGACCAAAAACGAGCATGAAGATTGAAAGAAAAAATAATCTTCAAATGTAAAATTCCATTAAAATATACCATTTTCCCATCCTTTGTATAACCAGCTTCATGAAGATATTGTGGCATCTGAGTAGTCTTTCCGGAGCCAGTTTCTCCGACAATAACAAGTATCTATCAAGATACATAAGGTAAAATATTTAGTTAGATGTGTTACTGAAAGTTTTATCAATTCAAAAGAAAGTAAGATCCAAAATGTGAATCGCAACAATTCAACCCAACAAAAAAATTTATTATTGCAAATTAATCTATGCAACACCGTCATAGCAAATAAAAAATTATATCCTAAAGAATTAATTGAAATTAAAATTAAAAATTAAATAATGCATGTCTTTGTTCAAATCTTTGGCCTTAAAATGCAAGACCAATATTTTTTAATTGTATCTACAACATTAAAAACTTGTAAATGGTGCTTTGTCATATTTTAATGATGACTTGATCCTCAATTAATTATGTAAAAGTATGAAATATTGGATGAAATGAAGATTTCAAAGGCTGGAAAGCTCAAGATTTATTGGTTCCAGTTAAACTCGATTAAATAGCTAGCAAAACCTATATATGAAACATGTTCAAACAAATATTTGAAAAGTTGCAAAAAAATCTCTTCAAACATTTTGAAGGGAAGATTTAATATGTTCTCGAGAGCACATTTCTTATAAATTCAAAAAATGATTTAAAAACAAAAGTTCAGCAAACCTGGTGGTCATTAATAGCCTTGAGAAGTTCCTCTCGATAAGGATATATTGGCAGAGATTTTCTTTCTTCCTGTACATCCGTTCATAAATAAATCAATACACTTCAAAAAAGCAGGAAAAACAATTACTATAAAATAAAGTTCATGGATGAAAAATTACCTAACCTCCATCAAAACTAGTTGCAAATAAAAGAACACCACAATTACCAAAACATAAAATAAAAGGATCAGGAAAAATAAATCAGGATTTTGAAGTACAGCACCTGCAACTTTTCTAACATGGTTTTTGCTGCTGAATCGTTTGGTTCCTCGGCCATCTCATCTTCATGCTATAAAAGAAGGAAATATTCGAATTTAAAACTAAAGTATAACCAGTTTAACAATCTCTTACATGAATTAAACCTTAATCACTGAAGCATGAAACTTATTTTGGTTCACATGCCTGAGTTCCATCTAAAACTGATGCCTTAATGAAATCAATCCCATCTTCAAATACATATCTGGATGTACATTTCAAGCAGCATTAAT